GGGATACTATAATTTTATAGAACTGAAAGTGTACACTTGTTTGGGGCTTATGAACTCAGCAACTAAGTTGAGAATTGTTTTAGAGGGTTTTACGGGCCCTCTTAGGAAGTGAGGCCCTGATTGCGCGATTGCTTAGACAGCCTTCAAGCAGTGGTTGGGGTTAAGGGTTTAGGGTTTAGGGTTTAGGGTTTAGGGTTCAGGGTTCAGGGTTCAGGGTTCAGGGTTTAGGGTTTAGGGTTTAGGGTTTAGGGTTTAGGGTTTAGGGTTTGGGGCTTAGGGTTTCGGCATATACACCACTTTGGCTGGGAAGTCTGAACTCAAGTCAAAACTTAAACCCTGTGTTGGATCATGTTCCGTGAGACTCCCGACAAAAGCAAGTGTTTCTGTGCTGCTTGGTCTTAGCAGAAGCTTTCTGCAACTAATTATATCCGGGTCTGCACACGTGAACAGCAGAGGTTGGGAATTGACATTCAGGCATCTTGCGTTACAATTGTGTTGATGGGTTTCGCTCTCTTCGGCAGCTGCTTCACCCTAAACCCTAAACCCTAAACCCTAAACCCTAAACCCTAATCCCTAATCCCTAAACCTAAACCCTAAACCCTAAACCCTGAACCCTAAACCCTAATTAAACCCTAATTAAACCCTGTCAGCTTTCAGGGTGTAGGGTTTCGGGCCTTAGACCTGAATCCCTAAACCTACCCCACATGACAGCATGGAGACGTGTGCGCATTTCCCGCTGCTGGGCTCGACAATCCTTCCGACGGTTGCGCCCGCAGCGGACGTCGTCGTGACCTCGGAGTTTGGGATTCTAACCCTAAACCCTAAAACCTACACCCTAAACCCTAAACCCTGAACCCTAAACCCTAAACCCTAAACCCTGGGGGGGGGGGGGTGTGGTTTTGGGGTTTCGGGGTTTCGGTATTTCAGGGCAGTGAAAATCCCAAGGAGAGTCCCGAAAAAGGACCCTAGAGGTCATCAAGGGCCATTTTGTTCTGCGGCTACTTCTAGGCCAAAGGTGTGCAACTGTGTTAGAGTTGGGGTTCGTTTCGGCTCTATAGCCCTGAAGACTGGGTGCACTGCATGATGTCCCAACCCTAAACCCTAAACCCTAAACCCTAAACCCTAAACCCTAAACGTTGTTCTCCTTTGGCATCTCTAGACTTCAGGGGGGGTGGGGTGGGGTTGGTTGGTGCTGAGAAGAATCAGTGGGAGGGACATTCTACCTTGTTTAACCGTCATTTGGTTTTTATTGGTGGGTTTCTAGGCATCTTGCTGCCCACCCACCTTCATGACCCTAAACCCTGAGCCCTAAACCCCAAACCCTAAACCCTACACCCAAGTTAGGGCCCTTTGCCAGGCACATTCGTAACTCAGCCGGTATAGAGCATAGGGAGCACCACTTTTCCCATTAAAATGATTCATAATGATTCTTTGCAATAGTATAAGTATAGCGGTACTTGATTGTTGGATGTGGCAGGGCTAGGGGTCAGAAATGTGATGACACGAAGCATTCACTGCCTGGCTGTTGAGCGACCACGCCTTGTCCGACTAGGAAACAGGGAATGATGTATGCGCTTTCCTTGCATGCATCACCCGCTAGACTGATTCACACATGCTTGCTTACGGCTTACGGCAACATGGGTTTCCTGATCGTTTGGAGTGCTTATTGTTCCACGTGGGGCCCGTGTCAATTCTGCTGCCTGCGCCGAGGATGAACCGGACGCCTGCGCTGATCTTTTGATTTTGACCGTTCAGTCGGCATTGGTCGTTCCAAGCGCTATCTGCTACCGGTTCATGGGCGACACTTGAGCTGGTACCACCGTAGGTTTCAATGTATTGCCAAGTAGGAACAATAGTCGCATACAACAGCTTGGAGTTCTCACTTGCAGCATGAGTAAGTTTTTCAAAATGCTCCTAGCAGCCAACTCTCTACAATCGCTGCTTCATCCGTCATATGCAACAAACATCACCAGACACTGCAGCTTTACCAACGGCACGCCAGTACGTGTTCTAGTTGGCACTTGCTAACTACGTTCGCCAGCCCTTTCCCGCACTCGGATGGACAGGCGCGGCATTGCACCGGGTGGGCTTTCAACGGATAGTGTTCCGCGCCATCAAGTCGAATCTGTGGAAGATAGAGCAGAATAGAATATAAAGACAGAGCATACTCGAGTAGGAATTTACGTGAACACACAAACAACCACGGGGCAGTAGCAACTGCGCAGTCAAAGAAAGTATCCTGGTTCACGCATACGTGTGTGTTGTAGGAATACATTGTAGGGTTAGGGTTAGGGTTTAGGGTTTAGGGTTTAGGGTTTAGGGTTTAGGGTTTAGGATTTAGGGTTTAGGGAGTAGGGTTTACAGGGTTTAGGGTTTAATTAGGATACGCATGACTTTGTACGAATACAGGCCTTGGGTCTTGGCTCCTGGGAGTCATGAAGTGCAGGTTCGTAGGTCTGAGGGTTTAGTGTTTAGGGTTTAGGGTGTAGGATTTAGGGTTTAGTTAGGGTGTAGGATTTAGGGTTTAGGGTTTGGGGTTTGGGGTTTGGGGTTTGGGGTTTAGGTCTGAAGGCCAGCCCTCCCCAAACCCTACACAGCCCTCAAACGCCTCGAGTCGCTAAAGCTCGAAAGCCCCATCGATCCTTGAATAAACCCTAAACCCTAAACCCTAAACCCTAAACCGTCTTAAGCTCCACGCGCCAGGGCCCAGACCTCTGCTGCCCAAGAGCTCCACGGAATTCTTGAGCGGCGGCGTCTGAGGGTGGGCCTGGGTTGAAAGGAAGGGTTTAGGGTTTAGGGTTTAGGGTTTAGGGTTTAGGGTTTAGGGTTTAGGGTTTAGGGTTTAGGGCTTAGGGTTTAGGGTTTAGGGTTTAGAGTTTAGGGTTTAGGGTTTAGGGTTTAGGGTGTAGGGTTTAGGGCAAGGTTTAGGTTAGGGTTTCAGGTTCAGGGTTTCGGGCTTAGGGGCTTAAGGCTTAGGGTTTATATAGAGGGACCCGCAGGGTACCACATGATTAAATACATGGGGGCCACAGTCCCTGTCTACGAGGCACTTTCAAGCCCAAGCATTCCCAATTTAGGGACATGGACCCTTAGGGTTTAATTGGGGCTTACTTGGAAGCTCTTTTGACTTAGAAAGTCTACTCAGTGTCCCCTATAAACCTCCGAGTAATCCTCATAACCCAACTTACTTAGCCTACTTACGAAGTCAAGAGGTCTTCAGTGTCGGGTTAGCCGAGATGGGTTTAAGGTTTATTCGGATCAGGACTGAGGGTTTGGAGTTTAGGGTTTAGGGCTCGGGTGTAGGGTTTCGGATTTGGGGGGGTTCTGCGAAGGGGCCTTTTTCAGGTTTCTGGGTTCTCTTACACGAAGTGAACCAACACCAAAGAGGGTACCATCATTGAGCTATTGCTTAGGGCTGCCTAGGCTTCAGGATTGGGACCCCAAAAAGGGTTCAGTGCCTCGGCGTTAGGTGCCTTTCTCTGTTTCGCCGAGAGTTGTTCAGGGATATTTTTCACCGTACGTGCACGAAGAAAAACATGTTCCCCGTCTAGAAGAGAAGTTCCCTCAAGAGTGGGAAATTTCCCCATACTGAGGAACATCTCCCGATACCTTGGGATACTGGAAACCCTAAACCCTAAACCCTAAACCCTAAACCCCAAACCCTAAACCCTAAACCCTAAACCCTAAACCCTAAACCAGGGATACTGGATAGTTTTCTTGGGGTTCCTCATGTCTTGCCACGCCAGGCGGAAGGGAAAGTGGACTCCCGGAACGAGGGCCTCTCTCCCCCGAGTCGGCAGCCTCGGCGTGGAAACTCAGGGGGCGATAGCCCTAAACCCTAAACCCTAAACCCTAAACCCTAAACCCTAAACCCTAAGCCCTAAGCCCTAAGCCCTAAGCCCTAAGCCCTAAGCCCTAAGCCCTAAACGCTAAACCCTAAACCCTAAACCCTAAACCCTAAAACCCTAAACCCTAAACCCTAAACCCTAAACCCTAAACCCTAAACCCTAAACCCTAAACCCTAAACCCTAAACCCTAAACCCTAAAACCCTAAACCCTAAACCCTAAACCCTAAGCCCTAAACCCTAAACCCTAAAACCCTAAAACCCTAAACCCTAAACCCTAAACCCCTAAACCCGAAACCCTAACCCTAAACCCTAAGCCCTAAGCCCCCTAAACCCTAAACCCTAAACCCTAAACCCTAAACCCTAAACCCAAACCCTAAACCCTAAACCCTAAACCCTAACCCCTAACCCTAAACCCTAAACCCCAAACCCTAAACCCTAAACCGCGGCTGGGCACACGGCTTACCGGAGCTCAGGGTCGTTGTTGGGTCTGGGACTCAGAAAATAAAAGAGGTTTAGGGTTGAGGGTTTAGGGTTTAGGGTTTAAGGTTTAGGGTTTAGGGTTTAGGGTTTGTTTCGGGTTTAGGGTTGAGGGGGTTAGGGCTTGTTTTGCTGGACTTGGAGAAGCGTCAGACACAGGAAGCTTGGAGCGTGCAGCGCTTTTGACGTGCTTCTGGTCTTTGTTGATGTGTGTTGTTGCGTTTAGGGTTTTTGGTTTTTTTTGGTTTTTCTTTTTTTCTTTTTTTCCGGGGGGGGGGGGGGGGGGCGGTGTCAGGGTTTTAGAGTACGGGCCACTGCAGGGGTTGAAAGCCCGCAAACCAAGCACTAAATCCTGAGGGTCTCGGGGTCTAAGGTTTGAAGTTTAGGGTTTAGGGTTTAGGGTCCTTTCAGAGACCCGAGCTCCGAACGCTTCCTCGACTTGTTCAACTCAACATCTGCTGCAGGTTAGAGATTTCGACAGAGTCGTCTTACGTGCAGTCCTGACACCTAGTTTTTACGTCTTTTTAGCAGCATCCCTGAACCCTACCCCCCAATTCCGGACACTCCCTTATACAGGAGCCTAAGTAATTACCGAGTACCCAATCAGCAAATAAACTGCCCAACAACAATACACCACTGCTCAGTCTGATCATATGAGAACTGCTCCCCAAATTCATGAACCATGCCCTTTACCACGTACCAAGCTCTGAAAACAACAGCAACACGCCCACCAAGAATCCGAAGCACCCGGCCAGTCATTCTACATCTGCAACAATGGATCTGAGACAGCTGTGGTCAGAGATGGCGCAGTTCTTGCGGGCGACTTTAACGGCAAACTCTGGTCTGCAGTCCAGAAGGAGAACGCTGCCAAAGCAGACCCCACCGCAGCAGACATCCCTTTCCTCTTACCGCTGCCAGATGAACAGCAAAGTGGTTACCATTGGGAGTGTCATCAAGGCCAAGAGGCAAATTGCCCCTGCGGATGCGACAGTTGCCTGCCACAGCTTGTCTGACCAGCCCACTCAAGAAGACCCAGCCTGCTATTTGCTTAAGAGCCGCAAAAGAACAACAAATAATAATCCCTATATTGCCCTTAATAAAGAAGAATGTCTTTTGATTTTTTTCGGGCTCTTAAGCATTGAGTAGCTTTGCTTTCACACTGCAGCCATCCTTTTAAAGTGTACTGGTATCATCTTTCTTGTCTTGTTGGCTTGGACCTGGGTTTTGGAGTGCTATACTTTGTTTTGGTTCTGGGTTCCTATCATTGCTACTTATACCGAAAAAAGTATATACTTTTTCCAGGGTCTACTCCAAAGTAGGAAGAGGACCTCATAACCCTAAACCCTGAAGCTCTGCAAGCCCTATAAACCCTGCAAGCCCGATAAACCATTATGAAACCTATCAAGCCTAAAAGCCCCAAAAACCCAAAGCCCCAACAGCCCTAAAAGCCCTAAAAGCCCCAAAAGCCCTACAGTACCCCAAAAAGCAGCCCCAAAAGCCCTGAGCCCTAAGCCTACCCTAAACCCTAAACCCTGAACCCTGAACCCTACAACCCTAAACCCTAAAACCCTAAAACCCTGAAACCCTAAACCCTAAATCCTAAAACCCTAAAACCCTAAAACCCTAAACCCTAAACCCTAAACCCTAAACCCTAAACCCTAAAACCCTAAAACCTAAAACCCTAAACCCTAAACCCTAAACCCCTAAACCCTAAAACCCTAAACCCTAAACCCTAAACCCTAAACCCTAAAACCCTAAAACCCTAAAACCCTAAACCCTAAACCCTAAACCCTAAACCCTAAACCCTAACCCTAAACCCTAAACCCTAAAACCCTAAAACCCTAAAACCCTAAAACCCTAATACCCTAAAACCCTAAAACCCTAAAACCCTAAAACCCTAAAACCCTAAAACCCTAAAACCCTAGACCCTAAACCCTAAACTGAACCAGGGACCCGCCCGCGGGGACCTCCAGCGCGCCGGTCAGGCTCCCCCTCTCGCGCCAGGCCGCACTCCAGGGGGGTTTAGGGTTTAGGGTTTAGGGTTTAGGGTTTAAGGTTTCGGGTTTCGGGTTTAGGGTTTGGGGTTTGGGGTTTAGGGTTTAGGATATGCTCGTGGTTGGGTGTTTTTGTTGGGGACTTTAGAGGGTAATCCGAGCAGCTGTTTTGACCCCTCCCCCCGCAATAAGAAAGGCAGGGCGCCGCAATAATCAGACCATGGCAAGACAGCATTGAAAACAGTAGGAACGTATTGAATCTCTATTAAAATTGAATAGCAAAGTATTGATTCGGAGCAGGGCCCCCCTCGCAGGGCCTGCCATAATTGTGGTGCCTTTTTGTAAATGTGTTGCTGTCTTTGCTGGGCAGAGCCCATAAGGGTACCTCAGGAAAGAATGAAAACTTGTCTGCTCCAGTAAAGCATCACATAAGAAATCCTAGCTTTGTGAAGGGCCTCCGGAAAAGCTTTGGCTTCTTGAAAGACTACAGAAGCCTGCAGACAGATTTTTGACCCCCCTCCCCCCTTATAGTAACCGAAAAGTGGGCCAGCTGAAATCAGGCGGTGTTTACAATCTACACGTGTCACCCCTCAGACTTCGGTAAGGGTGCGCGTTTGCCCCCGCCCAGAATTGTTTTTAAAATGTGGTTGTATTTGCCCATGCGAAAACCCCCAGAATGCAAAGTAGTCTTGCCGCGGGATTTTTGATGTTCACAATTGACAATTTCTTAAATGTGGAGGTATTAATTAAACAGATGCTCGGATTAGGGACTTAATGACTTCGGGTTTGGGGATATTGGGAAACTCCGGGACTGTAGGGCGCAAGGTTTGGTTTTCGGGTTTGGGGACTTGGGGTGCGGACTTTAATAGGGTTCGGGGTCCACGGTGTGGGCTTGGAGCAGTTGCTGCTTTTACTTTAGCAGATCCCAGAATGCACCCCTAAACCCGAAACCCTAAACCCTAAACCGGAGTGTACGGTGTGGGGCTGTTTGGGGCTTTCGGATTCAGGATTTGCAGCTGGCGGGGGTCTCCTTGGGTCTTTGATGGCTCTGAATCTTTAACTCTCCTTAAGCTAAAACCGGGATCTGTGACACTGACGTCGCCTAACGCTCCCGGGTCATGGCATAGTGCAGACTGTCTCTGCTCTGTACAACCTCTAAGCGTAGCGAATATGAGGGTTCTGACGTATGGGCCTAGACCCCCCTGTCGCCCCAATCTCAGCTCCCCACCCTCCAACGGTGCCCCCCGGGACTCTGACGCAGGTGGCGCCGGCGAATGGTACAGGCATGGAGGGGGCACCCTAAACCCCCAGCCCGAAACGCGAAGCCCTGAGCCCTAAACCCTGAGGCCCTAAGGCCCCAAGGCCCTAAGGCCCTAAGGCCCTAAAGCCTTAAGGCCCTAAGGGAAGAGTGCAGTTTGCATGGGAGACCTTGGGTTTGAACTTGTGGAGTTGAGGGTTCAGGGTTGAGGGTTCAGGGTTAACACACGAAAACCCTAAACCCTCGGCTCAGGGTTAACACCTAACCCCGCAACCCTAAACCCTAAACCCTCAACCCTCAACCCTAAACCCTAAACCCTAAACCCTAAACCCTAAACCCTAAACCCTAAACCCTAAACTCTTTAGAGAGCTGAAAGGTTTAGGAGCCCAAGGTTTGAGGGTCGTAGAGAGGTCACAGCGGCCTGCACCATTCGAAGTCGAGCCCGCGTCCCTTCGCAGCTGCCCAAGTCAGGGTTTAGGGTTTAGGGTTTAGGGGTTTAGGGTTTAGGGTTTAGGGTTTAGGGTTTAGGGTTTAGGGTTTGGGGTTTGGGGTTTAGGGTTTTAGGGTTTCGGTTTAGGGCTTAGGGTTTAAGGCTCAGGGTTGAGGGCTGAGGGTTTGTGGGTCTCGGGTCCAGTAGACTTTTGCTTGCAAGTCCAGCTTTGCTCTGACCTTCTCCAAGACGTTGGGTGTCAATGTTTCTCGTCTCCATGTTTCTTGGCTTTCTAAAGTTGGCAAAGTGTAGCTCTAAACATGTGCGCAGGAGAAGCCTTGCAAGGGCCATGTGGAGCAAGATAAGGTACCTAAACCCTTAATGTCCTACGATGAGCTGGTAGCACAAAAACTCCCGACCTGCCTCCACAGAACCCTAAAAGACCCTAATATAGGGGTCGAAAGAATTACTAATCGTATCTTGTTCTGGTCCCTTGTTGCTTATACTAGATAACAACCCCCCAAAAATTTCTATTCTAATCATGAAGGCCCCGATATTACACTCCCTAAGCTTCGGAGTGGTCTTCTTTCGGGAAGGTCAGGGTCAGTGGGGCCCTGCTGAGGCGGCAGGCTACCGGAACGGCACCAAGCCCTTCGATGAGAGGTGTGCATCGCAGTTCAGCTGGGTGCTATGGGAAAGCGGTAGGGATGAAAAGCCCTTAAATAGTCGATTGTCGCTTCTCCCTAGTATGCTCAAACCTGCCCGGATGTCAAGAATCGTTTCCCAACATCCGCCTCACGTGCCCGGCACCTGTCAGAATCCCTCCTCTGGAATTATAGTGGGAGTCCAAGTGAAGGGGGCTGGGAAGGGGAGGATTTGGGTTGAGGGTGCGGGGGCCCAGGCTTTACCAAACCGGTCCCCCCCCCCCCCCCCCCGATGTAAGGCTATCATGATGACCAGATCTGATTCACATTTACGGGAAGAGGGGCCGGCCTGTTCATAATCGGGGCTTAGAGAAGATGATAAATACCTACCTTAGTCAACCACCCCTGGGTTGGACGTCTTGAACAAACACCCGCCATAATCGTACTGAAGATGAGATTTCAAACGGTCCAAGGAAAATATTCCCTAGCGAGTTGTGGGCTAAGGCTCTAGCACCTGCAAGCCCCATGAGCCCTGCCCCCAAGCGTCAAGAGACTGCTTTATATTTGTGAGATAGGGTTTCCTGAAACCCCTGGAACCCTAAACCCCAATAGCAAACCTTTGCCCTGAACCCTAAACCCTAAACCCTACACCCTAAACCCTAAACCCTAAACCGCAAGGGTATCGAGGGATGTCCACAGCTCTGGCAGGAAAGGACATCTGGAAACGGCCGAGGCCTCCTGGCAAACTGCAAACCTCTTGGAGAAGCAACCCTACTGCCTACACCCTCAAACCTAAACCCTGAAGCCGAAAACTTGGGATGTTCCCCCTTATACTAACCCCCCTTATACTAACAGTCCTTAATCGGGATTATAGCACCCCCTATGAGAATCCCAATCAAGGACTGCTAGCATAAGGGGTCAGCATCCCAACCTAAGCCCCTAAAACCACACCTACGGGTTTCATGTTGAGTTCATGGATGGTTTAGGGTTTAGGGTTTAGGGTTTAGGGTTTAGGGTTTAGGGTTTAGGGTTTAGGGTTTAGGGTTTAGGGTTTAGGGTTTAGGGTTTAGGGTTTAGGGTATGGGCTTTGGCTGGGATGTCGGCTGCGATTTGGAGGTTTCCAGGCTGGTTGCTCTGCTGGTTAGAAGGTTGAGGTGGGCCTAAACCCAAACCCTAAACCCTAAACCCTAAACCCTAAACCCTAAACCCTACGAAGTATGACGTGGGTTCGTAGAAGTGCCCTCATCACCTGGCAGCGCTTCCCCTAAGCCCTAAGGCCGTAACCCGGAAATCCCAAACCCTATTTTGCAAGACCCTGACCGTACACCCCAAACCGGTTTAGGGTTTAGGGTTTAGGGTTTAGGGTTTAGGGTTTAGGGTTTAGGGTTTAGGGTTTAGGGTTGAGGGATTAGGGTTTAGGGTTTAGGGTTTAGGGTTTAGGGTTTCTGAACCCTGTGGGTTTCCAGGGTCCGTCTCTGATGTTTAGGGTTTAGGCTTTAGAGTTCAGGGTTAAGGGCTTTAGGGTGCTAACAGTAGTTGCAGTAGTAGTTGTCATCGCAAGCAGAGCCATAATGAAACACGCACCATCATCATCATCATCCCCCTTGGAATCTGGATCACAATATATGGGTTGGATCATGATCAAAGTTGCTAGGAACAACTTCGAACTCGCCTTAAGCTGCAAGCCCTAAGCCCTTCGAGGTTAAGTACCTTCAAAGCCCTTGGAATCTTAGAACCCCGCAGGCCTAAGATTGTCTCACACTGCCCCGATGCCTCCCAGTGATCCATCCTGGGCCATGACAGGAAAGGATCAGTTCGAT